CGCCCGCACGAAGGCGGTGCCTTCCACGCTGCGCTACGGAGGCCCCGCCCACACGACCACGCCTACTAGGCCACGCCCACGGTCGCTCCGTGGAGGCCCCGCCCACACCGAGACCCAGCCTCTCAGCCCCGACTGCAGAGAGGAAAGAGCTGCCGGGGCGATCTGGGCCATGGCTTCCGTTGGGTAAGGGTTCGACTGGGTCGGCATGCGGACCCCCAGTTCCCGGGTCCCGACTCAGGTGGGGACAGATCCTGGAAAGGCGTCTCGTTCTTGCCCTGCTGTGGGAGGCGGGGCCCGCCCTCACGCACGGTGCAGACTGGAGTGTCTCCAGAAGACACGGGGGTGTGACCCGAGGAAGCACCGGGGCTGGGTCCGGCGACTGGAGCTGTCGCTTCCTGGGGAGGTTCCGAGGGGCGGCGGGGGACCCGGGCAGAGGAGAGAGGGGACGTGACAAGAAGTGGGGGCGGCGCGGGGCCTGGCAGTGTAAGTCGGCCTCCGCTCGGTGAGGCCCCAGCGACGCGAGCCTCTGGGCTCCACATCGGCCCCTGTCATCAGGAAGTTTATTTATCTTCAGGCCCCTCTTGAGTGGGCGTGGCCTTTGGGCAGTGGGTCAGCAGCCAGGGGCTCCTCTCAGGCCTACCCTTCTACCCCAGAGATGTTTCTGGAGTCCTGTGGGAGCAGGAGTTCCTCCGGGCCGCCCCTGGGAGGGAGGAGCCTTCCACGGGGTGGGCTTTCCCAGCCTCTGCAGCTCTGATTCATCTGCCTCACCTGCTGTCTCCTTCATGTCTTTGGAGTCTTTGGGGCCTCTGACTTTCTCTCCATTGTTCCTCATCCATTCGTTCGGCAAATTATTTAGGGCAACGCTAGGCAGGTCCGAGACTGCACAGCCGTAGGCTCTGACCACCGCACATCCATGTCGGGTGTTCGTCCTTCAGTTTCGGGTTGTGAGGTCTCGCCTGCAGGGAGGGCAGGGGAGCTGGGCCAGCCTCTGGAGGTATTCATCAGTCTGTGCGGGAGATCTTGGTGTTTTAACAGTCCGTGGGTACCAGCTGGACCCTGCCCTAGTCCAGCAGTGAGCAAGAACCTATTCCAAGGGTCCCCCAAGCCTTCCACTCTCCAGAGAGTACCACCCAGGGGGGCCACTGGCCACCAAGCCCACGGTCTTCTTTTGAATCATGTTGGGCCTTTGTTGTCGTCCCCCACGGCTCCCACGGCCCTGGCAGCTCTGCTGGAATTAAGAGGGTCACCTCTCGCTCTTCCACTTCAGGCCTCTGAGGGGCCCCTGACTACACCACCGTCTGCTCTCCTGCTGGTCTGCGGTTGGCCCAGTCTTTGACTTTCATCTCCTTTCCGGCTGTGACCAGCCAAATGCCTGAAAGGTGGCGGAGGGAAACCAGGCTCTGCCACCAGCCTGAGCCCAGCCTGGCCAGGTTGTGCCTGAGGACCAAGTAGCTGAGGTTACTGGGTAACTTGAGGTCTCTCAGAGCTGCTCTCTCCCAGGGTCACCTCCTTCCTACTCCTGCTCTCTTGGCACAAGAATCCCCAGGCCACGTGGCTCCTCTCTTTTCACTGAGCCACCCCCAGTGTTTATGGGAGGAAAAAGAGAAGATAGCAAAACATGAGTTACTAAGGCACTCTTCTTTCCTTCCTTCGTCCTTTTTTCTTCCTACCTTCACCACCTCTTTTTTGGGGGGTGAGACAGGGTCTTGTTATGTAGTCCATGCTGGTTTTGAACTTACTGTGGAGGCCAGATTAACCTTGAACTCATGGCAATCCTCCTGCCTCAGCCTCCCTGGTGCTGGGATTACAGGCGTGTGCCACCCTGCCTGGGAAATATGCAGTGCATACACATAGTTCATGGGAAGTTCACATGGCATGTTATATGATATATATATATATATA